ATCAAAAAAGGGAAGAAAAAAATAGTGCTGGCAAGAATGCACAGAAAGGGATCCCTTGTGCACTATGGTGGAAATGAAAACTGGTACAGCTACTATGGAAAACATAAATACCTTGGGAATCTCACTTATATGTGGAATCTGAAAAAACAAACCACCTACCCTCCACCCCACCAAGCTCACACTACAGAGAACAGATTGGTGGCTGACAGGCAAAACAAAGAGGGGGTGGTGAGTAAAATAGGAAAAAGAGGTCAAAAGGTACAAACTTCCAGCATAAAATAAATGGGTCATGGGATATAGTTACAGCATGGTGATAATAGTTAATAACACTATATTGCATGTTTGAAGGTTGCTGAAAAGGTAAATCTTAAGGGTCTTCACCACAAGAAAAAAATTTTGTAAGTATATATGATGATGGATGTTAACTGAACTTCTTGTGATCAACATTTTGCAACAGACATAAATATCAAATAATTATGTCATATACCTAAAACTAATAGAAACTGTGTTGACTGTATCCCGATTTAAAGACAGTCGATTCTTACAAATTATAGATTCAAAATAATTCCAATGAAAACTGTACCTATTAAACTAGCTAACTCCATAATCATAACGAAAGCAGAGGCCATATAAGAGACAGAACAATTTTGAAAAAGAACCAAGTAGAGGTGAACATTATGTGATTTCAAGCCTTATTATAAAGATAGAGTAAATCAAGCCAGTGTGGTATTCTCTGAGGTCTGATGTATAGATCAATGAAACAGAACAGAGTTCAGAAACAGATTTATATGTACATAACCAAGTGATTTCTTATGAAGGTACCAAGATAATTCAATAAGGGAGAAACTGTCTTTCCAACAAAGAATGTTGGAACAATAACAAGAAACAAACTGAACTTCCACCTTTACTTTACATCACACACACATAAAAAATTATCTCAGGTCTTCCCTGGTGGTCCAGTAGCTAAGACTCCATGCCCCCAGTGAAGGGGGTCTGGGTTCAATCCCTAGTCAGGAAGCTGGATCCTACATACTGCAACTAAGGCCAGGTGCAGCCAAATAAATAAACAAATATTTTAAAAAAATTATCTCAAACTAGCTCAGACTTACATATATAATGTAAGGTTACACTACTTCTAGAAGAAAACATTGGAGAAAATCTTTTTGAATTTGGATTAAGCAAAAATCAATTAGGACTCAAAAAGCATAAAATATAAAAGAAAAAATTGAGGACTTCCATGGTGGTACAGTGGATATGAATCCACCTGACAATGCAGGGGACATGAGTTCAATGCCTGGTCTGGAAAGATTCCACAGGCCACAGAGCAACTAAGCTTGTGTGTCACACCTACTGAGCCTGCTCCCTAGAACCTACATGCTCAACTACTGAAGCCCATGCAGTCTAGGGCCCACGAGCCACAATTACTGAGTCCACATGCTGCAACTACTGAAGCCCAAGCCCCTACAGCCTGTGATCCACAACAAGAGAAGTAACCACAATGAGAAGTCAGTGCACCACAACTAAGAGTAGCCCTGGCTAGCTATAACTAGAGAGTGCCCATGCACAGCAATGAAGACCTAGTGCGATTAAAAAAAAAGTAAATAAATAATTTAGAGATCTCTAGTCTCTTCAAGAGACTAGAGATCTCTTCAAGAAAATCAGAGATACCAAGGGAACATTTCATGCAAAAGTGGGCTCAATAAGGACAGAAATGGTATGAACCTAACAGAAGCAGAAGATATTAAGAGGTGGCAAGAATACACAGAAGCACTGTACAAAAAAGATCTTCACAACCCAGATAACCACACTGGTGTGATCACTCACCTAGAGTCAGACATTCTGGAATGCGAAGTCAAGTGGACCTTAAGAAGCATCACTACAAACAAAGCTAGTGGAGGTGATGGAATTCCAGCTGAGCTATTTCAAATCTTAATAGATGATGCTGTGAAAGTGCTGCACTCAATGTGCCAGCCAATTTGAAAAACTCAGCAGTGGCCACAGGACTGGAAAAGGTCAGTTTTCATTACAATCCTAAGAAAGGCAATGCCAAGAATGTTCAAACTACCACACAATTGCACTCATCTCACACGCTAGCAAAGTAATGCTCAAAATTCTCCAAGCCAGGATTCAAGAGTATGTGAACCATAAACTTCCAGATGTTCAAGCTGGATTTAGAAAAGGCAGAGGAACCAGAGATTAAATTGTCAACATCTGCTGGATCAGTGAAAAGGCAAGAGAATTCCAGAAAAGCATCTACTTCTGCTTTATTGACTATGTCAAAGCCTTTGACTGTGTGGATCACAACAAACTATGGAAAATTCTACAAGAGATGGGAATACCAGACCACCTTACCTGCCTCCTGAGAAATCTGTATGCACGTCAAGAAGCAACAGTNACCGAAGAATTGATGCTTTTGAACTGTGGTGTTGGAGAAGACTCTTGAGAGTCCCTTGGACTATGAGGAGATCCAACCAGTCCATCCTAAAGAAAATCAGTCCTGACTATTCATTGGAAGGACTGATGCTGAAGCCGAAACTCCAATACTTAGGCCACCTGATGTGAAGAACTGACTCATTTGAAAAGACCCTGATGTTGGGCAAGATTGAGGGCAGGAGGAGAAGGGAATAACAAAGGAAGAGATGGTTGGATGGCATCACCAACTTGAGGAACATGAGTTTGAGTAAGCTCCAGGATTTGTTGATGGTCAGGGAAGCCTGGCGTGCCGCAGTCCATGGGGTCACAAAGAGTCAGACACAACTGAGTGACTGAACTGAACTGAAAATAAATAATCGATAAACATGATTGTTTCAAAACTTAAAATTTCTGTTCTTGAAACAGACAATGATAAGAAAACAGAAATGGACCCAAAGACTTGAAATAATTATTTGGAAATGACAGATATGTTAGAGAACTTGCTTCTAAGATATATCAAGGGCTCATATAACCCAGTATAAATATGGGCTTGATGTGAGCAAACACTTTACAAAAGAAAATGAATGGCTAAAAAGCACATCAGAATATGTTCAATATCATTGGACATTAAAAAAAAGGTAAGCTAAAATAACCACAAGACACCACACATACCAAAAAGAATAACTAAAATTTTTAAAAAGATTGACAATATCAAGTGCTGACAATGATGGAGGACACTGGAACTCTCCTAAGTTGACACTTGGAATGCAAAATGCTATACCACTTTGAAAAACAATTTGGCAGCTTTTTGTGAAGTTAAGTCTATGCTTTCCATATGACCCAACAGTCTTAGTTTCAGTTATTTACTCATGGCAAATGAAAATGTGTTCATACAAAGACTTGCACATGAATGATTATAATAGGCTTGTTCATAAAAGCTGAAACTGAGACCACCCCAAATAACCACTAGCTGGTAAAGGAAGTTCTAAAAATTGTTACAATATATAGATATATAAATGTTAATATTCAGCTATAAAAATGAACAAACTAATTTCACATGCAAAAACATGGATGAATATTCAATAACTTTCTGCTAAGTGAAATAATCCAGACACAAAGCAATACACGACGGGATTCCATTTTTGTGACGTTCTGAAAAACACAAAACTATAGTGATAGAATACTTGCCACCTGATGTGATGCCAATACTCTGGCCATCTGATGTGAAGAACTGACTCACTGGAAAAGACCCTGATGCTGGGAAAGATTGAAGGCAGGAGGAGAAGGGGACGACAGAGGTAAGATGGTCGGATGTCATCACCGACTCGACTGACATGAGTTTGAGTAAGCTCCAGGAGTCGGTGATGGACAGGGAAGCCTGGCATGCTGCAGTCCATGGGGCTGCAAAGGGTCAGACACAACAGAGCTGAACTGAACTGAATAGTGATAGAAACCAGATCTGTGAACACCAAAGTCTAGAAGGAGGTGTGAAGGAAACATCCACAAAGGTGCATGAGGAAACTTTGGGGGTAATAGAAATATTCCCTATCTTGATTGTAGTGGTGATTAACTATATATGTTAAGTTTTATCAAACAGTATGTTTTAAAAAGAATTTCACTATATGTGAATTATACCTTAATAAACTTCTCTTTAAAAAATTATGTTATAAAGGAAATTTCAGATTTGGAGAAAGATGACATATTAGTATGTATAAGTTCAATGACGCTGGTGAAAACAGCAACAAACAATGTGTGATGAATCTATTTGATAGTCATACTGAGATTTAAAAACTAACACTCTCTAACTTGCACTTCTGGACAAACATAATGTAAGCACAACTATATCTGGAGGAATGTAAAAATATAATACCAATTAAAAATGATTGACATATAACAAAGATTACTAGTAGCCATTTTGTAGTAAGACCATGGCAAAAGCTGGCAAAAAAGATGAATATATGTAAGTCCTTTCAGTGAGAAAGCATAAAATATACTCCCTCATCATAAAATATACTCACCTCATATCATGCAGGTATACTCCCTGCATACCCATCTAAAGAAAAGGATCAATATACGAACAGGTATAGGGGATTTCCCTGGTGGTCCAGTGGTTAATACTCTGCCTTGTAAGGAAGGGTACACCGGCTTGATCTCTTTTCGGGAACTAAGATCCCACATGTTGCAGAGCAATAGGCCCACACCACAACTTACTGAGCCCGCATGCCATAGCTAGACAGTCCATGAGCCAGAACAAGATAGTCGGCGCCACACTATGAAAGACCCCCCATGACACAACAAAGATCCCACGTGCTGCAACTCAGACCTAAAACAGCAAAATAAATTAATAAGCACCACAATCCTACTCCACATTTACATATATGAATATGAATATATATATATATGAACAGGTGTAACAGTGCTCATTATACTGTTTACTCTGAATATGTATGAATTTTTCCATGATAAATACTGAAAAAATTAAATGGCAAAGACATGATGCAGTATGCAACTAGGTTGCTGAATTTAAAAACTAAATACATTAAATAATTTGTATCAACACAAACACACAATGGTCAGGTAATGTGTACCTTGGCAATAGCAGTTTGTTTAAACATGCGAGTAATCAACCCCATGACAGTCTCGGTAGCACCTGAATATGGAGCTCTCATTAATTTTTCCCACTCTTCAAAGCTGGAATTCAATTCCTGTGTAGGAGAAAATAACAATGTTTAGAAATACAGTATAAAGATGACAGCAATTAATGTAATAATGAATCATGTTCTACTTATTTTCTTTTTTTATATATAAAATATACATATATATATAAATTCTCAAAGATACCAGTGTGTTCATTTAAAAACATCAGTGTGGAGGCAAATCAGACACATGTTTGTGATAATGACAGGAAGCAATAACAAGGTGTGGGAGAAAACCAAGCCTTTTGCTAACACCATAAACAGTTGCAGCCTTCTCTTACAAAGGAACATGTAGTAAAGTAAAAAGTAAAAATTTAAGAAAAAATTTAAATAAAATAAAAATTTTAAGTAAAAATAGAAACGGTGCACAGTAGCAAAAATATATATGGTACCAGAGCACTTAATTTAATAGTAAGATTTTATTTAAATAAGTGTAAAGACTTGGGGAATATTGTCACATAAAAAATGTGATATGATATTGACACTTTCATTTTTCTTTTCTTAATAAAAATGGATACAGAAAATCAGACCATTTTAATTTTACTTATATTGCTCAGTGTTTTTTTTAATATACAAAATGCTTCTTTTAAGCTTTCAAGATAAAACAAGGCAATAAATACTATTTGCTGATAGTTATGTCCAGATTTGAAGAAATTTCAGAGATTACACAAGCATTGTACTCCCCAAAAGTACATGTAGGTAAGGGTTGGGAAAAATACAATTTTGGTTTTCTAGTAAGTTGGACATCACATCTTATAACATGGTCACAGAGTTTTAAGATTTCCATAACCAGGCGATGCAACCAAATTATTCTAGAAGACAGCTATGTGTACTTAAGAGCAAGAAAATGAACTTTTCTTGCTAATTACTGGGCTTCACACCCTACAAATACTTAGAATTCTTAGTACTAAGTCTATGCAGCAATTGAAGTGTTTTTTTCACCATTCAGCAGAAATATATTTTTTAAAGACTAAGATACTAAATCTTTTCACATTATTCGATGACTAAATTTAAATTCTTCCTGCTCTTTTCTTGAAATGATATAAGACAATTCATATGGCTTTATTAATTAAACCTATTTTAAGAAAGTGAATTTTTTCCTTCTGTGAAATATGAAATATGTGCAATCTTTCATAGTATAATTTAAAATGATTTCAGATAAGACTTTCAATCAAACATGGGTTCTCACCTTGGCTGCTGCTGCTGGAAGATCAAATGGAATACGCTGTCTGATTTTAGGGGGCAGCTGGGTTAAAACTTCAGTCTTTAATCTTCTAATCATTATGTCACTTAATAGCCGATGAAGTTCATTAAGGTTTGATGCCCCTCTGCAATCCCACTGAGGTCTTTTACCAAAATATCTGTTAATATGAAGAAAACAAAATGTAGCAAAGCTGGAGGCTAGAGTAAGAAAACAATTTATCCAATGTATTCTTCCTTTAAGATAAGGAGCCATGATACTGTTTTTAGTTTTATTACTGAATGCAAATTAGTTTCAAAAAACTCTTCTTTAGAAATAGTAATGAATAAGATTGTACATTACTCTCAGCTATACGAAATGTTAATGTTTAAGCGTAGTGTTTATGTTGAGTTAATACAAGGCTGATTCATTGGGAAAGACCCTGCTGCTGAGAAAGATGGAAGGCAGGAGGAGAAGGGGACAACAGAGGATGAGATGGTTGGATGGCATCACTGACTCAATGGGCACGAGTTTGAGCAAGCTCTGGGAGTTAGTGATGGACAGGGAAGCCTGGGGTGCTGCAGTTCATTGGTTTGCAAACAGTTGGACATGGCTGGGTGACTGAACTGAATATAAGACTGAGCAAAACTGATAACCCTGAATACCACCAGCATTTTGGGTGACCTCACATAAGGCACTGTGTTTAGCAGACCTAGCCCTAACTAAGCACTAACTGCCAGAACACCAGTCAGGTGATATAACAACCAAAACCACCTAAAACATTTTCTACAATTATAGGAGGCAATATCATCTCCCACTGAGCTTCTATGCCCAGCAGACAGATCACTTGGTGAGCTCTTCTTCCTTTGAACCACTGAATTGACAGCAAAGGCAGGGGAAAAGGTAGAAATGCCTTATGAACAAGAGATTGGGAGAGAGAACATCAGAGGATATTCAACAAACGTTTAGAAGTCAGACAAGCAGTAGATGACTTGACAAAAGAAGGCAAGCGACACCTCAAAAATGTCTGCAAAAGGGAACTTATCCCCTAGATCTTTGAGATCAGGAGTGGAAAGCACCACATGCCGGGGGTAGGTATTACACTTGGTGGATGTACCGAACTCGGACACCAAGACAGCAGGTATAATAGCATCCCTTTATCATTGTGACAACCCCCACATGAGTTCACAAAATTCACAGTGGTCTTCTAGGGGTCAAAACTACTGAAAATAGCTACCAGAGAATAATTAACAAAGGAAAATTTCCTGTTAGTTTGCATTACAATTATTAACAATTAAATAACTTCATTTTAGTGGTATTTGGTGGTATTTGGTGGTATTTTAATACAAAGTCTTATTTTGAGAAACTTGTAAATTGCTGATACTGATTCTTGTTTTTTTAGTTTTATGTATTTTGATAGCAAACATACAGGAATAGTACCCAAAACATTAAAAACATGTATTTGCATGTAGAACTGATTAGAAAAGTATAGTGAATGGATGAAACTTCAGTGTGATAAAATGACAGACACCATTTAGTTGTCCTCAATAAGAAATTCTTGCTTGTTTTTTTTTTAAAAAAAACTAAGTGCTGGCATTGTTAAAAAAATAAGTTTAGTTAGAACTGCTATAAGTTGAATCACTGAAATCTGTTCATTGAAGTATTTTGACTTCCTTTAATGCTTTATGTCTGCACTTAATTAAAACTTTACACACTAGTAACCCCAATGTTCAATGCAGCACTATTTGCAATAGCTAGAACATGGAAGCAACCTAGTTGTCCATCGGTAGATGAATGGATAAAGAAGTTGTGGTACATACACACAGTGGAATATTACTCAGCTATAAAAGCAAATGCATTTGAGTCAGTTCTAAGGAGATGGATGAACCTAGAGCCTATTATACAGAGTGAAATAAGTCAGAAAGAAGACAAATATCATATGAATTCATATATGTGGGATCTAAAAGATGGCACCTCCAATCCTATGTACAGGGCAGCAAAGGAGACACAGATGTAAAGAACAGATTTTTGGACTCAGTGGGAGAGGGAGAGGATGGGATGATATGAGAGAACAGCACTGAAACATATGCAGTACCACATGTAAAACAGGAAACCAGTGCGAGTTTGCTGTATGAAGCGGGGCCCCTAAAGCCAGTGCTCTGTGACAATCTGGGGAGAGGGTGGGGAGGGAGTTGGGCAGGGTGGTTTACGATGGAGGCGACACACGTATATCTATGGCCAATTCATATTGATGTATGGCAAAAACCAGCATGATATTGTAAAGTAATTGTTCTCCAATTAAATACCTTTTTTTCAAAAATAGAAAAATATTTACCATTACTCAATTCTGTCACCTATTTTTCCATTCACAATCAAGATAATTACATTTTGACATCATGGCTAAAAAAACTAATACTTGTCAAATATATCTTAATAAAACTGAGAAAAAATAGAACAGGAAAAAAATCTAATGTTCAGAATTACATATAATAAGAAAAAAGATACTACTCAGTGCTAAAAAAGAATGAACTATGAAATCATGAAAAGCTGTGGAGGAAACTTAAATGCATATAACTAAGTGAAAGCAGCTAATGTGAAAAGGCTACACTATATAATTCCAACCACCCAGCATAGTCAAGAAGGCAAACCTATGGAGACAGTAAAGAGATAAATGGCTCCTACGGACTACAGAGGAGGTAAGGATGATTGGGTGGAACACAGGGAATTTTTAGGGCAGTGGAAATGTTCTATGTGATACCACAATGGTGGATATATGCCATTGCACCTCTGTCAAAATCCACAGAATGTGTAATACTGAGGGTGAACCCTAATGTAAGCTATGGACACAGGATGATAAAAATGTGTCACTGGAGTGCAATGATTGTAAAAATGTGCATTGTGTTGCAGAATTTCAATGGTGGGGGAGGTTGTAGATTTCTGAGGACAGAGGGTATATCAGAACTCCTTGTACTTTTCACTCAATTTTGCTGTGAACCTACCTCTGCTCTTTAAAAATAAAGTTTATTAATATAAAAAAGTGCAGAGGATTTGCATTTCAGTCTCTGCCCTGAATATTTCCAGGATTCCCCTGCACCAGAGCCCGCTAGGGAGACTGACCTTAGCAAAAGATGCCTGAGCTGAGGTCAGAGTGCTTTAAATCTTGGGCTAGAGGCCTTTTAAGTACCTAGGGCCAAGGAATTTTTAAAGGCATGTGAGACTTTTTAAAAAGTATCAGAAATGAAGTAAAAAGAACAAATTGTTGGCTCCAAAATGCCAAAACAAAGTGCAAACTTAATATGTATTTAAGAAACACCTACACAATTATAGCAATAAAGGCCATGGCAATAGCTATAGTAAGGGTATTCCATGAAGTAATTCATTTAATTTTCAACAACTCTAGAAGACAGCTAAAGCACCAGTTATCATCCCTATTTTATGAATGAGGAAACAGATGCAAAGAGAGATTGGGGAATTTGTCCACGGTATCACAGATGGTAATGGTGGTAATGGAATTTGAGTTTAGTAATCTGACTCTAAAGTCTGACTTGACTGAAACTCAACTTTCATATAACAACACAAACATTATTATTTAATGTTCTTGGGATTATCTTGATATGCTTGAATTCGTGTGTGTGTTGGGGGGTATGATGTACAAAAATAGGAGATTCTGGGGCCAAGAACCATTTCTCACTTTAGGTCTTAGCCTTTTCTTGCCTGATTCTCAGTTGCTAAAATGTGTAAAATGAGAAGGTCCACTCTTCTGGGGGAATGGTTAAATAAAATGTAAGTCATGCCAAATATGGTCTATTAAACAACTATTTACTAAGAACAACTATTTACTAAGAACAACTATTTACTAAGAACAGTTAGATTATATGTATGAAGAAAAACATCAATGATTAGACAGATGAAAAACTGAAGGTTCAGGGTAATATGTTTGATGTGAAAGATTATTTATCTGTGTATGTGTCTGTACATGTGTATATATCTGTAAAATAATGGGAACAGTGCCAGAAGAATACACATCAAAGTAACATCTTGCTTATCTTGGGGGTAATGGTGATTATATAAAAACTGTTTTAAAAAAACAAAACAAAACTTTTTTTTTTTTAAACTCCCATTTTGTTTTTATAGGCATACTTCGGAGATACTCTGGATTTAGTTTCAGACCACAGCAATGAAGCAATATCACAACAAAGCGAGTCACACACATATTTTGGTTTCCTAATGCACATAAAAGTTATGCTTATACTATACTGTATTCTCTGAAGTGTGCAATAGCGTATGTCTAAAAAAACAATGTATATACTATAATAAAAGTACTTTATTGCTATAAGATACTAGTTATCATCTGAACCTTCAGTGAGTCATAATATTTTTATAATAACATTAAAGATCGCTGATCACAGATACCATCACAACTATAATAATAAAGAAAAGGTTTGAATTATTATGAGAATTATCCAAATATGACACAGAGACATGAAGTGAGCAAATAATATTTGAAAAATGGTGCTGATACAGTTCTTTGATGCAGGGTTGCCAGAACCTTCAATTTATATTTTAAAAAAATGCATTATGTGAGAAGCGCAATAAAATGAAGTATGCCTGTATTGTCTTGACTGTTTATAATAAGCAAATGCTTTTGTAATTTAAAAAATTCAATTCAGAAAATATCACAACGAATTCCACAACTTAAAAAGCTTATAAATATCTACACGTATTTTCAGGAAAAGAAATTTCCAAATTCAGGAAAAGAAAAGATTTTTATGAATTAACTGGACATAACTATAATCACAACTATAATGTTTTTCTTACAATTTCCACTGCTTACACTTTGATTACCTCTTCATAGAACAACTCTAATACTTTCTTTGAAGAAACAGGGTAATTCAGATTTTACTGAAGCATGGATTATCAATTTTTATTTATTAATAATGTTTCAAGTTCATAATTTATCAGCATGTTGTATAAAATTTTTTGAAATTGTCAAACTTGAAAACACTTCCATCAAGTTTCTGCCATATATGAGCTGTAAGAATTGGAATTATTTATGTATTAATCCTCTGGTTCTGTATAGTTCAACCTTGTTTCCCTCCACTACTCATATTCCTCTAGTACAGGTGACAGAGGACAAGTTCACATTGCAGGACAACTGCCATCCTTGCACTATGAGTATTC